CGGTTTTTCAAATACCGCTAGACTAGAGAGATAGAGAAATCAATCGAAAACATCGAAATGAGAAGGATCCGATAGATATGTAGGTACGAGACTATTTCATATATAATGTGGAGACATATGTCCATTATATATAAAATAGGTCTGTCACCGATTGTAATAATAAAAATATCGAATTGTAAACATGCCGGTTTGTTATTGATAAACCTTGAATCGGAATCACATTCTTTTCTCCTTGTAATGGGCTGAAATCCGGTTACAAAAATCGAACACAATATTATCGCTAAGATATATCTATTAGTTTTATAATATATATATATATATATATATATATATATATATATATATATATATATATAACCCTTTTAAAAGGGTTAAAGAATAATAAAATAACATAGAAAAAAAATGAAAAACACAATACCGGATACCTTGAAACATGGTATCTCCTTCTATATATGCAATGAAATTTATGAATCGAAACCTGGTTTTTGGTTTTATATATCATATCTCGTTATCAGACAATATACAACTATTTTTTCCTTTATATTCTAAATTTTTAGGAAAATTAATGGAGTGTGTATATATATAAATCTTAGATTTATATATATACAAATACATACAAGTCTAGGATTTCTATCATCCAAAATTTTAATCATCCGACCATAAAAGGGTACAAATCAGAAGGGAAAACAGATTCAATTAAACGGAAGGGTTTAACCAATCAGTTTTTATTAATTTAAATCGAATTAAACAATAAAACACTAACAATTGACTGATCAATATATCAATTAATGCAACCTATGTGTTGATCGGAGCAAGACTTCCCAACTGGTTTACCTAAACCAAACTAAACCGGTCCAATTTTTGAAAAAATATCCAATTGGTTTTCCAAGAATCAAGCTTTGAGTGTTCACTTGCCAGCAGCTTGGGAGCCCACGAACAGTGACAGAACCCTCCGATTTTATTTGATTCGTTTTCATATTCGTTTTTAATGATGAATATTTATTTTTAAAAAACTAAAATTTTCCATTATTTTTTATATTTGATTTGAATTTGGTTTGGATTAAATTTTATAAAACTTTATGCTCATTCAATTGTTATATCAAATTGAAGTCGATTGCATTGATGTATTATTCGGTCCAATGACATTTAATTTGTGAATATAACCGAATGCAACGCGACGTTGATTAGAACAAGAGTAAAGTTTTGTCTTGGCCACATTTTTTTTTTTGTTAAGGGTAAATGTATAAATATAAATATTTTTACAACAGGGAAGACTATGAGATAACATCCCTAAGTACAGATAATAAAATTGACGGTACCAAAATATAGATAAAACTTGAATTAATACAAAAACAATCATATACGTTTAGAATCAAACAAACGACTGCACTGCAACTTTGGCACCACGCACAAAAGAATCGTTCGATGATAACAAAAAAAAAAGACGACAATCGCAGTGTAGAAAGAAGTCTCGGGAATAACTCTGATTTATCCGAGATTGAAAGACAACTACGCGAAAGCGTTTAATGACAATAAATTTTTTGGCAAGAATAAGATAATTGGTGGCTATGCGAATAATCTTTAGAAACATGTGGGATTATGAGAGGAAAAAAAACAAAATGACTCTCTTATTCTTAATAATAAAAAAAAAAAACTCGAAATGATATTACCACTGGATCGGTATATCATCATCTTCATCTTCACTCTCATTATCGATCATCATTTTTATAAAAAGAACAACAAATTAGAAAAGAACCAGAAGCTCTGATACAATGTAGAAATTTACGGAATGATATTTTTATTGATAACCAAAATAACATATAAATAGATGAGAGTCTTACATTGAATAAGTAAAGTAGATATAATAATAAATATTTCTAAATATATATTTTCAGGATTTGATAAGATCTCCATTATACGATATATCTCGTAATATTTTTCAAGATCTAGTATATCTCAACATCCCCCTTCAAGTTGGAGTGTGGAAGATCACGAAACGCCCAACTTGCTGAAAAGATGATTAAACGCACGCCGCTTGAACCACATTACCTTGCGAACTTGTTGTTGGTTGTAATGCTCTAGGATGATCCATGATATGACATTTTACTTTTACTGATTCATTGATTTATGAATGCATTATTTTTCCGTTATACGATTAGCATGTTTATTGTATTTCGGTATCCTTGAATCATTATAGAATGATTCTAAACACCCTGGTCAGTTATCATTGTGGGAACAATGATGAATTAAGACTAGCATGAGGTGCGATCGATGCATTGGATGCATATCACAATCATGGGTACTCGTTGTGAACGAGTGACTGGTTGACCCGCATGAGATTGTCACATGGACAGAGTCATGACTTGAATCTCATACAGCGGTTCGTTTATGGATCCTCACACCTGAGATGTCTAGAGTATCTGATATGAGGAGTGGCGTGTCTTGACTGCGTCAAACGTCGTCTTTAACCGGATGATTATAACGACGTTGATCAGATACGTTCACGAATCATATGGAGATAGTAGACATGCAATATGGGACTTGTCACCTCCTTAATAGGAGAGATATCGCTGGGCCCTCTCGTGGAAATCGGACTATGAAAACGCGTGGCCACGCTATAGATGAAGTTGCATCTATTTTACTAGTCGATTTACCAAGACGAGAAAGCGGTTGAACTTGAAGGGTGGCTCAAACCATGCCCTTGTTCAACATATGATATGTGAGACAAAGGATCAGAATTCGAGCTGTTAATGCCTTGGTTAGATCACCTCTAACTCAATTCTAAGTGGGTGGTCATGGCGTCTTGCTAGAGGCTAACCATGACTTGTGGTTCGGGAAAGGTTCCTAAAGTCACTACCACTTAGAATGGGCCTACAAGGTCACACACCAATAGGGATGGACTTATACGTGAAGAATCCGAAGAATGGAAACGAGATTTGACCGAAACGAGCACGAAAAGAGGTTTTCAGTGCGTTGGTCCGGAGCTGACCAAGTTTGGTCAGCCCCAGACCAAGTTTGGTCAGTCC